CAGGTCTGTTCCCCTCTGTTGCCTTTCTGTATTCAGGGGGAGCATTTGGCCTTTAGTAATTAAGTGTTGCAATAAACCACATTCAGCTGTATGAGTTTAAGATGGAATGTTCTTTAACTCAGTCTTCCGGCTTTTTATGTACTGTGCGGATTCTGAAGTGTTGGTTTTTAAACACTTTTCACACTGCATTTTAATGATCATAATATAAAAGCTTTTCAGACTGTTAAACACTAAGGTTTTACTATATTCACCGTTAATAATAAAATAAAACTTAATTTGCATCAGGATTTGATTTAGGTTTCACAAATGTAACCAGTAACCTGTGAAATGGAGGGTTATCTTCATGAAACTCAAGTATTTGATCTGCTTAATGAAGGGCCACCGGCTATGGTATAGTTTCAGTGTGACTACAGTATTCTTAGAGAGTCTTCTAACTGAGAACAGAGCAGTTGCTTTAACAAGCATCGTGGCTGCAGTAGAAAGGCAGTGGTGAATTAGTATTAATATGACATGAGAAGAAACTGCATGGGGGTGTCATCTATACTGTTTCTGAGTTGATGAGTTTGTGTTTTGTCTGGTAGCAGTAATGTGTAGAAGAAACAAACAGGATAGCAAGGTGGAATATGATGATAAAAATGATGATGCTTTTTCCATTTGATTATTTTTGTGAGGGGCGTTGAATGACAAGGGAAGGCCTTTAAGACATTGAACTGTGGTTTGTAGAACTAGTGAGCCACTTAATCGTTTTCTGCAACTAAACTGTTTTTTCTGTCCTGTCCGTGCCAAGTTGAAACCAAGGGTACGTCTACACTACCCGCCGGATCGGCGGGTAGTGATCGATCTATCGGGGATTGATTTAATCGCGTCTAGTGTAGACACGATAAAATCGATCCCCAATCGCTCTGCCGTCAACTCCGGAACTCCACCGTGGCGAGTGGCAGAAGCGGAGTGGACGGGGGAGCGGCAGCAGTCGACTCACCGCTGTCCTCACGGCCAGGTAAATCGACCTAAGATATGCAGACTTCAGCTATGCTATTCACATAGCTGAAGTTACATATCTTAGGTTGACCCCCCCCCCCTCCAGTGTAGACCTAGCCCCAGACTATCTGTTAAACTGCGACACACTGTGTTTTTCTACATACGTGGCAATCTGTATTTCTATTCTCTGCCTTGTTCTCTCTCTGTTCATGTAATTGACATGGCAATTTCTTGCAATATCCTTGGGAGACCAAATAGAATTAAAGTTAAGTATCTTTGGGGTTCATTGTATTAAATGAATGGTTTATATATCGTTGTGGGCCGGGATTGCATGAAGCCTCTAGAAGGGGGGGATGTGACTGATGTGAGACTTGGCGGTTCAAAGGACTATACTGAACAATGTGCCAGACAAGAGTGGACTCTTGGAACAAAAAAAAAAGCATTAAGTGGTTTTCATGGGGAATATCTCGGGGGAGGTGAATGCAATTCCCCACCTTCAATTATGTAAAAACCCAGCCTTTTGAAGCTATGCCCCTGAGGAGTGGGCCAGTGGCTTCTGATCCCCTGTTACATGAGACCAAGATCAGAGGCACGAGCTGTATAAAAGAAAGACTGAACTGTTATGATTCTGAATCTGAGACGGTTATGAATTTGTAATCAAGAGGAAAACCCAGCTGGGTGTTTTGAAGGACTGACACCTATCAGAGCCCGAGGTGGAGCTGGAGTGACCCCAGTAAGCTTTTTACCATGTGTGTGGGTTCTTTCTTTGTTTTAATATGTTTTCACTGCAATGCCTTTTACCTTTAAGACTAAATGTGCTTGCTTATAAAGAGCTGCTTGGTAACTTATAACTGCCAGCAATTACAGTGTTCACAACCACTGCAGGGAAAAGCAAAGCACAGACACTAGCCTTGTAGGCAGCCTGGCTTGCTGGGAATATCAGTGTGTAGGGAACTGTATAGGCTGGAAAGCTCCTTGTTAAGAGGGAGAGAGATGCGGGTCTCTGCCCAAGAGAGGTGACAGCTGAGGAGCCGGGAGCCTGGAATGGATGCCCTTGGTGGACCACAGAGGGGGATCACAGGTGCAGCTTTCCTGCCCTGTAACAGCTCACACAGTGCTCTATTTTACTTCTCATATCATGTTAAGAGCTGATATAAAGAACTGCTAGAGGAAGCCATTTGCAGCGCTCAACAAGAAGTTCTATTGGTCCTACACAACTCAGAAGTTATGCTGCATATTCTTGAGTGCCATATACTGTCATGTTATCCATAAACTATTTATATATGCACAGATATAGAGCACTATATATGTAACACTCTATTGTTTTCTATGTTCTGGTAAGCTATTGAATTCTCCTGTATTTTGTCCCAAACCAGTTGATGGTGTTGGTGGTACGGGAAGGCAAGACCAGATAGTACATCTCATAGCATGGCTATACAAGTTTGCAGCAGGTGTGTCTCAGCTAAGCATTATTATGGACCACTCTGTTTATAGACTCCAGGGAGCTGATTTAGAATGGTTTAGTGGTCCGGGTAATGCTTAATCATCTTATGTTCTCTTCCAAATTATTAATTCCCAGGAAAACAGTACCCTTGTTACCAAACCATGTATGTGACTAGACTGACTCCTCCATTCTGAGAAGCATCCATTTCTTACTACATATTCTTTGTTAGCCAGTTTTTAACTCACAATCTGAGTTTAGCTCTTAGCTTGTGGGTTATTTATTTCTCTTAATACTCTCATGCGAGGCTCTTTGAAACTGTATCCATTGACTGTCTCTTTTCATTCCACATTTGGTGTTTCTATCCAGGCTTTTACACCATACCCATCACTGCGGTGTCCAAGTGTGTTAGGTAAATCTTTCCAAGAATTCTAATGGGCCTGACTTTAACTTTTTATGTATTTGCTTGTTTGTTTTGAATTTGAAGCTTCCAGTGTTCAATATATTTTTCTGTAGTGCTACTGCTTCACTCTTCTGTTTCCTTCTGATCTCTAAAATAAATACAAGCGAATATATTTGATTAATTTAGCCTTTTTTCCTCCGTGTATTTCTCACAAACCAATCCTGATTCCTACAAAGATGTGAACAAATTTCAACATCTGAATTGTTCACGATGTCTTCACTATTTGCTATTATTTATTGAGTTGTATTGGATAGTCACCTTCTGCATGACACATGGTATCTTTTTGTTCTCTGATTGGACGACTGAAACTTTTAACGTCAGAATAATGAATAACAAAAGAAATATGGACTCAATGAATATCACACTTCCAATATGCATAGTCGCTTGTACTTCGCAGGGTCTATGAATGTTTTCTTGAATAAACTTGCCAGTAATCCAAATCCTCATGAACCTGATGATTTCTATGACCACATGAATAACAGAAGTACAAATTTGCCACATATATTCACAAAAATATTTGTGAATTGCTTTTGTATTGTATTGTTCAATGTGGTATTATTCGACGAGCTTGAATAAATATCATCTGGGCCTAGTGATATATTGCCCTGGATTTTCTGAAGTTGCGTTATTTGCTTTTCTTAGGTCCTTACACAAACTAACTATTGACTTCTATTGTGCCTATAAAGGCTGCAGGGTTGGACGCTAGGATGCGTTTTCTCTGCAGAGTTAACTTAGGTGATTGGTGCCCAGGTGTTGAGGAGCACACTGCAAAGCCACATGCAAGTTACTGTGTCCTTACTGGTGCTGTACTCACCCATGTGCGTTGCTGGTTCTGTGTGTTGCAGTAAGCTGAGCTGCTCTATGATGCTTTCCCAGTGAATTGTGATCTGTCCTTCTGGGGACATGGGGGAATTGTGAAAAGGTACAGGAGGACTATCAGCACTAGAATGGTTTAACCTGTGTCCTCACTGTAAAGCAGGCAAGTGACCTGCCTGAGTGAAAGTGGCAACTGGGCTTTAGCCTGTAGCTCCACCCAGGCCAGCTAGCCTGGATTGAAAGCACCACCAAACTCAGGTGAGAGGTTTTGTGTGTGTCTGGGAGGGGAGTTGGGGCAATACCCGAGTAAGAGCCGAGTTAACTCTGTGGTGAAGTCATATCAAGAGAGGGCTGGATTCTCTCCTTTGTCCTAGATCAGCTCAGCACAAAGTGGGGAGAAAGTTAATGCTTCCTGATCTGTGGCCGATCTATGTCAGCCCAGGGGCTGCTCTAACTTATGTCAGCAATGTGTTGTCTGTTGAGGATTGGTTTAACATAGTTCCAATCAGCTCCTTTCTGGTCCCTGACATGCCTCCTATGCTGAAGGGAGGAGTGGTTGGAACAAGAGTTGGCTCTAAAGCTTCCCTGCTGCTAGGAGACCTCTCAGTTGGCCAGTTACAGTTAGATTCTGGCTCCTTTGTGTCAGATGAGCAACACAAAGGAGCCAGATCAGAAAGCAACAGAGAGTCCTGTGGCACCTTTAAGACAGGAAAGGAAAGTCTGGTTGTTAATTGTCCTTGAGACCCTCTTACACTCATAATGGTCCACAATTCCTGCTGATTAAGCTGGATACATGCTTGCTGGACTGGGGCTTAAGTGTTTCTGAGGTAAAAAACAGGGCTAGAAGTATCACATCTACCTTGCTGACAGTGTTGTACGGGCACCTGTTTCTCATTCTGATGGTCACAGTGTCAGTCAGAGCTCAAACCTGCTGTGGCAATGAATATAGTTCATTCTCTAGGATAAACCAGTGTGTTTTAATTTGGGAGAAGATGTTTTTTGGGGAAATTCCACATTTGGGTAAAGAGAAGAATAGCGATGTCCGGCAGGCTGTTTTATGTATTTATTTTAAATCATGGCTGTTTTTGAAGCTGCTCAGAGTTTTCAAACGTTAAAGTATTTCTGGTAGAGATGAATTACCAAGCAGACTACAGGTAAGACAGTCAAAAATGCAAGAAAATATAGTATTTCCAATGGCATTTTAACACCTGGATATCAACACATGTGTATGTGTGCGTGGGGGTAGATATAAAATATGTGTATTCAGTATGGTCCTAATAGATTTGTTTTCACTCTTTTCAGGATAGAAAACCAGTCAAAAGATATGTACTTGGATAGCAAAGATGATGGAGCAATCTCTGGAAATCTAGAGATGGAGCTGAGTCAGACATCCTCTCCACACAATGCTAACTTGCACGGGAAGGTGGCAACTGAACCAATTGGCGGCAACTTCAGTGAGCTGCGGCTGTTAAAGGAGTTTCATGGAATGGTGTCTGTTCAGGGACAGCCACAAAAGCCCTATCAAAATGGAGCAATAGGGCAGGATTGTTGTGTTCCCCTTGGGAAAGATTTGAGCCCACTCGCCATGCAGGGGAGGTAAGGGCAAGAACAAACTGAATCAGTTTCTTTTATTGAAAGTTGTTTTTATTCCCTTACAGCGTCGATAAAATATATTTTATTTAACATCTTTCTATAAACGTATGGAGTGAAAAGCTTAGTAGGAATTTATAGCAGTCGTAATTGCCTAGAGATGGTGACTGGCTCAGCAGGTTCCTGGACTAATATCAGCTTTTACAGCTGCTCTGCATCGATTTTGCTATGTTTTCCAAATCTGAGACCTGGGTTTTCTTCACCACTCTGTGTGTTTTGTGATGGGTTTGTTTAACCGACAGAGAGAAAACATCTTTGTTTTGATAAAATGACACACAAATTAGCAAACTGCTTCACAAGTCTACATCAAGGCAATAAGCTGCATCACTGCTGAGGAGGGCTATAGACCTAAAAAGACACTAAGAATGCAGTCTTGAGAGTAAGCACAACATAATACCATACTTGATCATTTAGCATCTGATTACTTGAGGTCATGAGCACCTGCTAGGAGATATTCCCTACACTCTCACGGCAGCCAGTGTGGCAGTATCAGGCCCCAAATGTGTGCAATTCTATTTTTATGTTTAAAGTGGCGACTCCGAAATATTGCAAGTGGCTGTATAAACTTTCCACCCCCATTTTCATTTTGCTGAAGAGTTTTGACTCTGGAAAGTAGCAATCGCTGAGCTTCTGAGACCCAATTATCATATAGAAAAATCCAACCTGAAATAAATAGAATAAGCACCCCAGTGAGAGTGGGGGTGGAAATAAAAGGCATTTAGAACTGTTGTCAAGAAACTTCAGTGGTTCTGAGGATTCTTGTTGTCTATTTCATAGATCTATTTAAGGCTAGTAGGGACCATTGTGCTAATCTAGCCTGGCATTCTGCTTAACACAAGCCATAGAATTTTAGTGTTTCATTCCACCCAAAATGAAATGTTTCGTTTAGATTTTGAGCATTTTTAAAAAATGTTTTTGCAGAAAATTTCAAAACAAAATAAATTTTGAACTGAAAAAAGTTTTCATTTTGAAACTGTTGAAGTGAAACATTTAAACTTCTTTGGAACTCTTTTTTTTTTGCTTTTTTGAGGTGAACGAACAATTCAGTGAAACTGACATGAATTCACTTCTGGAAAAAAAAAGTACTCTATAGGACAATATAAAAATATGCTCTTACTTGAAGAACTGATTTTTTTCCTATTCTGTTTCCTGTTCGTTAGCTGGGCCTTTATATGTCTGTGGGAAAGAAGCTGAGTTAGGGATTTCAGTGGATCATAATTTGTCCAAAATAGCCTTCAGATGGAAATGTGGAAATCTTTTACAATTGAAAAGAATTAGAACAACAAAAATAATAGCTAATAATTATTAATAATAAATTAATAACAATCAACTCATACTCCTTTTATATTCTTCTTCTGAGTATTTTTACAAAATCCAAAGCAGTTTGGGAACAAAGTCAAATTATGTAAAAGCTCCTTAATTTTGAGTGCAGCAGGAATTATTATTGGCCTGATGGAAGTCAAGATGTGCTTTTTCAGAAACATGATGACAGTAAGTGGAGTATGAGAAAATGGGCTACAGTGTCTTGGGGAGCCAAAGACCGCTCCTTTTGAAAGTCTTGTATGTGTCAGTATTGAATAGTGCTGGTAAATACAGTGCTGATATGCAGTAACTGCACAGTTAATAAACATGGTATTTTGAAGTTGAAAACAACATAAGATATAGACATTAGAGATGAAGAAGATGTATTAGATCATTGAGCCCACTTTTCTGCAAATGTAATCCACGTCTTGTGGTAACAACCATTTTCTGATTAAGTAAAATGAAGTTACTGTGAGTGATCTAGGGATAAATATGCAATTACTGTATCATCACCGTATTAGATTACAGAGAATTATGTACTCCTAACTTTTTATAATAAAGCATTATGCACCGGAAAAGGGTCTGCTTGAAATTCTCAGCTGATCTGCCCTCTCTTCCCCCCCAATTTCAGATTTCTACATGCAAATGCCGTTGACATAATAAATAAATCTTGCAGCATTTTTAATTCCCACTTTTTTTTATCATGCATTATATCTGGTCTTCTGATAGCAAAAATCTGCATTGAACAAGTGATGATTTCAGGTGAAATATTTGCAATAATAGAACATTGAGGCCTGGATCTTGCAATCACTTATACTTGTGCTTAACTTTCCTCCTCTGAGTAATTTCATTGAAATCAATGGGACCACTCCTCATAGTAAAATTAAACACGTGAGTAAGTCTTTGCAGGATCCGGGCCCCAACCTATATGTCTGTGCAATTCCACAGTAATGAAAATTACACTTCTGATGTTATTTAGTGTGATGCTTACAGATGAAGAGTACTACTGATTAAAAAAGGTGAGAAAACAAACAAATAAACAAAAACAGTCCTAGTCGCAGGAAAGAATCCATTAATTTGACATGTCTGTATAATTTGTTTTAATGTATCTATTTAAGTTAAATTGGTTAATTATCTTTCAAGGATAATAATCGCAAGGTGTCTAATTTTTTAAATGTATGCCAAAGCAAGCTGTTTCAATGAAGCTATTTAAAAGGATTGAGGATTTACTTCAGTCAATAAAATAAACTTTAAGAAATTGTTCTTAAATTAACTGGCCAATTTTATTTTTGGGAGGTGGATGTCAATGAACCGTCCTTTGCATTCGCTGTAGCATGCTGAGGTGCCGACTTTCTAATGTGCCCCAGGTCCTGCCCCCACTCCACCCCATCCCCCAAGCACGCCCTGCACTCATTCCTTCCCCACTCCCCCCCAGTGCCTCCTGTACACTGTGGAATAGCTGATCACGGAGGGCGGGAGGCGCTGGGGGGAGGTGGGGAGAGGCGCTGATTGGCAGGGCCACCAGCAGGTGGGAGGTGCTGAGGGTGGGGGAGGAGCTGATGGGGGGCTGCCGGTAAGTGCTTAGCACCCACCATTATTTTTACATGGGAGCTCCAGGACTGGAGTCAGTGTCTAGGGTAGTGAGTAACATACATGGAGGATGTTTTGCCTTCAGTTCAAGTACTTCAGGCTCGTGTTTGTTCAAGGGTTTGAGGCCAGTTGTTAAGTCTTCATTAGATTTGTCCCTTTAGCCTGAGCTGCCATTTTACCTATCAAATCCTCTAACTTCAGCTTTCACTCTGATGTCCCATCTGATTCTATTGCTTCTCTCTTCCTCTTCCTAACCTCATTTGACCTGCAGCCCTGGATCAACCATCATGGTGACTCCTGGGACCTTGTCTTTTCTAAGCACTGCTCCCACTTGGATCTTTCATTCAATATATTCTCCTTTCTGACCACCACCTTATTTCCTTCCGTATCGGTCACATGCCCCCTGGTTGCACAACTGGGTCTTTAAGAACTCCAATTTATCAACCTTTTTTGACTATTTTTTTGCGACTCTCGGCACTCACCTTTCCTTTCTTCTCCATGCCCTCATAGATGACACCTTCATCTCCTGTCTCTCCTTCCCCACCCTTAACTCTTTGTTCCTCTCTCTTGCTGCTCTACTCACATCCCCAGTTCTGGGTCAGACTTCTCACCTGCTTCCTGCATTGCTTAGTGTTTCTGGAGGAAATCCAGTGACCACACAGTTTTCCTCTGTTCTCTCCTCTGTTGAGGGGGAGAAAGAAGGGGAGGCAGAGTACAGGGTTTCTTGCCCAGCAGCTCTTCAGTGTTAAAATCAGCTCATGTGATACCTATGTGTCTGTCCCATTGACATGGAGGACTGTGAATGTGTTGGCATCAACTTCCGTTGATACTCCCTTCCATGTTGAGAGGAGTGAGGAACTGATGTTAGTGTTGGTGCCTCTGTTGGTACCTGTGGGCTGTTTTTCTTGCCGTCTTGTTTGTGAACCCTAGCATGGCAACTTCCCTTATTACTCCTCTTCAGAGAGTGGCACCAGAGCCTCTTCTGGGAAAAGCTAAACCTTGGTTCCTGAAACCTTGGTCTCAGTTTTGCTACCATTGGTAATGGAGCTCAGAATCCATGCCAGGGATCTCCATTAAAGTCATGGTAGTTTTGTCAATTCTCTTTTAGGACAAAAGAGATGTAGAAAGGACTTGACGACCGGGGGCCCGATCCTTGACTGGTATCAGTCAGTTAGCCCCATTGACTTCAGTGGAGTTACACTGATTTACAGGAACTGAGGATCTGACTCCTGACATTACAGAAGAGCCAGGTTTTTTCCTTTTAGTAACAAAATGGGAACCCTGTGCTGACCCAGTTCATTTAACTTACGCTTCCTCCTAATATCCTGCAGAGAAACCACCTCCTTTCTGAGCTTTGCATTCTGAAATAACCCTTCATCCACGAGTGGGCATAAGAAATAGACCTGATTATGCATCTCTGGTTCTACTGCAGCTAGTTCAATTTTCCATTTTCTTCATCTGCCCATATTCCTCCAAAGTCATGATGATTGTAGTAAAAAGTGGTCACTATCGAAAGGTCAGCATATGCTATGAATAACATCTACAGTTATATTATACAGGATTTTTTTTAAAATAGGGGTATAAAAATGCTCCAGCTCATAAACCAAGTAGTAACTTGAAAGGGTTAGGAGGAAATTTCCATTATGGGCAATTTCATAGTTTTGCAATTCTGGGCTTCTTGTATATTTCTCAGAAGCATCTGGTATCTTTCACTTTCAGAAGCAGTATACTGGACTTCATTAAATTGAACAGAGGTCTGATCTGGTATAATATTTCTTACGTTAAGATTTGTGGGTCGTCTTACTGATTCAATAGTTATCAATACATACTTTTGTTGTAATATGTAGTGCTGTTGAAATTTAAATGTACTGTAAACATATGACTCTGCTTTGAAGATACTCTACTAATACAAATTAATATGTTAAAAGTGTAGTCATTTTAGTTCTTCGAGTTGCACTGGAACTATAGAAATGATTAGTGTGCCTGAATTTTGCCCTCATATATTCAGGCACATCTCCTATTGGAGTCAGAGTTTAGCCTTCAGTTACATTACA